CCTCCCGCCCTTTCCCGCCCCCACCGCCGCCCCACTTCCGGGATAGGCCCCGGCGCGTCACAGGCACCGCCCTGCCGCGCTACCATTGGCTACCAGGTTCTCGACACCCCGCCCAGTCACATGAAGAGCGCCCTGGCAACCCCACGTGCTGCGGATTAGTGCACTTCCGGCGTGGAGAACACGCTCGGGAGTCTGGTTGCGGAGGGTAAACTCGCCCGCAAGGAAACTTGCTCCCTCCAACTTTTAGGTTCGTTGCGTTTGGGTCCCAGTCGATATTAATGGCAACGAAGCCACGCTCCCGGTGGCCCCTGCCCTCAGATGCCTGGTGGTTGTCACTTGACGGTCGTCAGAACTCCCGAGGCGCACGAGTTCAGCGAGTGTCCCGCGTGGCAATGGAGGGAAGTTTGGGTTCGAGCTTCTGGTCCAGCCTGCAGCCCTACTGGAGATTCGAACACTCGTATGTTCCTCGAAGAAGAGCCTAGGTGCAGTATTTTGTTACTGGGCTCCGCCCTGCGGGTTCCGTGGGGGACTTAACCACCCCATGGTGAGATTCTGGCGGCGACTGCCACCGGTGCCCTCCAGGAGTCAGCGGTGCTGCCAGGGTTGGGAATTTCTGAAACATCTGCGAACTAACAGGCAGCAGTAAAGTCACCTAATCCGCTTCTCATACCAGAGGCTGTTACGGAGTTTTGGAGGCGAAGGGTGTGTAACTCCTACCGTGTTGTCCTGTCCAGAAAGTTCTGCCAATTCTTTCCTGCAGGCATTTGCTTCCTTAGAATTTGGGGTTTGTCCATACCTCATTAGAACCATTGGGTTGTCTTCACAATCGATCTAGAGTTGATAGACTTGCATACTATTAAAAACAAAGGTTTTTAAAAGAGATGTGCTCGGCTTCTCACAGCTCATTACATTCTCCTACCTCGGAGAGGTGAGCTAGGGAATTACTTCCCACTCCACACCCCATTTTATGTGGCTCTGTTATTTCGTATTGCTGCCTCCTGAATAATCCCATTTCTCACATTCCTATATTACTCTACAGTTTATACACACAGTGTTCACTTGGTATACATGGGGGATTGGTTACAGAACACCACCCCCGAGATACTAAAATCCGCGGATGCTCAAGATCCTTATATAAAATGGTGTAGTATTTGCATATAAACTATGTACATCCTGTTGTATACACCACTATAATCAAGATATAGAGTATTTCTCTCATTCTAATAGTTTTCTTTTGCCTTTTTGTGGTCAGTCCCCTCCCCACCACACCCAGCACCTTTTTAGTGATGGAGAAAGTCAGAGAAAAGTTAAATAATTTGCCTCAAATCATACAGCTAGCAAGTCAGACAGCCAAGACTAAAATCTGGCAGTTTGGCTCCAGAGTCACTGCTGTAACTACCACCATATATATCCGTTCACATATGATTTGTATATGGAATCAAGTTGGGCTTCATTCATTCAACGAATACAGTCGATTCACCTGAAGTCACTGGAACACTGAATTAGCAAATACTGAACCATTGATCCTAGGGGAAATACAGGGGTAGGTTCCCGTGAGCCTCTGGTCACAACATTTTCATTAACTGGTCTATAGGTGACCTTGTTTCATGTGTTCCTATTTAAAGACAACTTGTTTAATGTGTGTTTCTGTTTAAAGACACCTATTTAATATGTAGTTGATTTATTAACATGGAACTCATGGCCAACACCAGTGTAATTCATGCCTGAAGGTAGCTTATCTAACAGACATATTTTTTCTGAAAGGCACACCACAGCCTTCTTGTGCTCAGAAACACTAGGCAGCTCTTTAGCACGATGCTTGGGGGCCATTTTAAGCAGTGAAATCACCAACAAAAAGCTCAAAAAATGTGACACTGAATAGACTGAAAAGAACACTTGTTTATAGTTTGGTAGCTGAAATAAGAAGGCAGAGCACTTACATGTTTAAGCTCAGCTAGGAAAACATTCATCAGATGGCTCAAATCTCTGTGCATGTTCACAAATTACCTTGAAAGCACGGCAACTATTGATTTGGGG